TAAAAATAAAAACGTTTTCAATCTCAAACAGAAATTATTTTTAAAAATGTGTTTAATAATTTTATCAAGAGATTATTTTTAGTATAAAAAAATTTATTAATGTCTCTCTTTCTCTCTCTGTTCGAGAGAGGAGAAAATGAAAATAATAAATGAAAAACGACTAAAAGTCGTTTTTCATTTCTCTCATTTTACACTAAATTAAAAAATTATTTTCATTTCCGTTTTTTATTTTTATTGCGCCAAACGTCGTTTTAAAAATGTTTTAATTTTTTTTTCTCAAAAACATAAAAAATAAAAATAGGATCAATTCCAAACGTAACCTACAAGTTTGAGGTCTTGGTAATAGAAAGAAAAAAAGTGTTGCGTCGTCCTTTTGGGTCAGCTTCAACCAAGAGTTTGGCATCGATAAGTGTCAGCTTCAACATGCTTTCGTTGGCATCAAGCCAGAGTTCGGTATATATTGCCAACCTCGTCAAGTGACCCTCATCTTATCAGGCTTCCATTATGTACATTGATGTGTACTCTGGTGGCCTTGTGTCCCTGCAACGGTTTTGTGAGTGAAAGTTGTACCTCAATAGTCTCTCACGGCTTTCATTGTGTAGAATTTCAAAATCTACAAGAAAACTTTCAATTTTATGCTTTATGTTTGTGATAACAGAGGTAGTCTCCCCACCTTCCTGTGTGTCCAATCCGTAAGAGTTTGCTCTTTGTGGTATTGTCCGTTTGTTTTTTTTTAGTTGGTGTCCTTGTGTTACTTTATCGTGACCCTTATCAATCATATGTTTTCTTCAATTTTCAGAGTCTTTTCTTAGAGTCTCATGTGTGCTCGTTTCTTAGGGTCCGTTTAGTTCGCGGATTCAAATTTTTAATTTAAGTTAATATGTGACTTTATGTGAGAGCTTTTTACTATAGTAAAAAAGTTAGATGTGACTGTTTCTGAAAGCTTTTTACTGTAACAAAACTCGAATCAGCGAACTGAACGGACCCTCAGTGTGTCAAGATATTTTTCTTTTTTAGGCTTTTAACATGCGTTTTACACGGTGCATGATTAGATTGTATTAATGGAGCCGGTCTACCTTTGAAGGTTATGCTTCATGGTACGAGGATATTCGCATATAATTTGTGTTTTATGTTGAATGTTATCATCCCTTTCCTTTCAAAAAAAAAAAAAAAAAAAAAAAAATCCCTGGTTTCTTTTTTCTTGAAGGCATCTAGTTGGGGGTCTTAAAAAAATAAAAAAAATCCCTGGTTTCTTTTTTCTTGAAGGCATCTAGTTGGGGGTCTAAAAGTGCAAATTTCTCTTTTCCACCAACTATTATGTGCACACCTTTACAGCCAATACTCGAAGGAAAAAATAACACGATGCAAGCATGTACTATATCGTCAGCTTTTGCAATATTCTCCATTATGTAACAAACTTTTCAATTTTTCCAGAAAATAATAATAATAATAAAGGGGAAAAATAAAAGGCAGTTGCACTTCAAGAGTTCCAATAATTCGAACTTTGCAACGTTAAAGGGGCAGTACAATTGATTTATCAAAATTGGAAGTACTAGAATTATGACACATTTCTTTGAAGCGTCAATATCCACATTAGTGGCTGTCAGCTTTTTTCTCTACCAAAGGGTCCCAATTCACATCTTCTATATCTGCCTACAATATTCTAGACATGAAAAGGGGTAAAGAAATTTACCAGAAACCTATTATAAGTTATCCTAGTTAATTTTTCATTAGAACATTTTACAATAACTACACATATTAATAACACCAATGTCAATAATTGAACTATGAGGACATTGAGCAAAACGAAATCTCAAACTTCTTTCTTCTAATAATTATCAACCCAAACATCGAGTTGTTTCATGACATTTGGAATTTTCCACTTTATATGATTTTTCACCTATATTTATTATTTTTAGAGATAAAATCATTTTGGTACTGTCATTTTTTATAATATTAAGACCGTATAATATTAAAGCTAAATTGGACCAACTTTACCCTTCCATCAACTTGTGTATATGTAAGTACCACAATAGAGAGATGTTTATGGTTCGTTTAGTTCGTTGATTCGCGTTGAGATGTGACTTTATGTGAGACATTTTTACTGTAGTAAAAAAATTAAATGTGATTATTTTTTAGAGTTTTTTACCGTAACAAAACTCAAATTTTAAACTTAAATCAGTGAAATAAACGAGACTTTAAAATAACTATAAATAACATCTTAGTGAAAATGTACAAGTACAAGAGCCTCCAAGGCACATCAAGTATACACTTTTAGCTGTTTGTTTCTAATTGCTCCACAAGGGCCAACCCAGAGACCCAGGAAAATCAACCTCCACTACACCATCGCCAGGTTCTTATTTTGTAGAAAAAATCCCTACTTTAGCTTTTCATCCGAATACACGCACGAGGTCATAGCTTTTAGTGTCGTTTTGATCCCCCACCAACTAAAAAGTTGTTTTGAGTCGAGTACAAAGAAGAAAGGAGATGGGAGCTTCATTGAGGGATGGTAAGTTTGACATCTTATTTGCCAATCTTTGTACTAAATACTGCTAGTTTATGTTCATTGGAAAAAGAAAAGTCTATTCTGATGGAGAATTCTATGATAAGTTAAAGGAAAAAATAAACATATATATATATATATTATTCTAGACATGATTTGTAATCGATCTAATCGGAGATTTTATGACAGCTGGTTTTGTCTTTTTAAGAAGGTTTTGGTTATTTGAAAACTGTTTAAAGTCATTCATTTTGATATGATTTGGTAGTCAACTTTAGTCATTTTTGATAAGTTGACATATGATGAAAATTAGATTGACAACTGGAGATATTCGATTTGGTGGTTTGAAAAGTTTGTGCTGATATGAAAACTTCACAAAGTTGTTTATTTTGAAAGTTAACTTTTAGTCCAAGTTTAGTAAATTGGTGATTGATGATGTGATTGATATTTGGATGTAATATTGTAGCTGGCCTATTCCGAGATGCTTATTAAGAATACGTCTAGGTTCATATGACAGTTATGAAAAGATTTCAAGAATTAATATGTCTGATTATTAGTTTGTTTTTTGACGGTAGCTTTACAACTTTGTTGCAGTGATTGTTGTAACAGACACTGCAACAGATTGAAGTGCAATGAATCATTTTGAAGATCTTATTAGCTGTTCTTTTTCGTCTATTTAAAAAGTCTCATTCTTTTTTTTTGTATGTCTTGTAATCAGTTTTTCTGAGTTTGAGACATAAGGTTGAGAGTCTGTAATTTTTATAATTCTTCGGGAGAGAAACTTAGTTGAAGGAATTTTAATATTGTAAGTCGAGGGGATCTCGCTCATCAAGTCTATTAAGAAATTATAGTTAATATGCGTCTTGTCTTGAGATGGAGTCTTGAGAAGTTCAAGTCCTTGTTGAGTTGTAAATTGAGTTCTTAATAGATTGTTCATCTTCTGAACGTGACCCCATAGAGTAGGTAATTACCGAATCACGATATCATTTTTTCTGTGTCTTTCATTATTTCACGTTCTTACTTTCATTTGTTTCAACAAACCTTATATCAAAACGTGATAAAAGACTAAACCTGTACCAACAACATTGGTCAGAAACTTCTGCCGCATTGAAATTCATTCATTCACCGGGGTCCGGGGTTAGAATTGTTCATGGGATCATCATTCATTACTATTACCTACCTTATTTTGCTGGATTGATTTTAGCCTTCTCATGAAATACTCTAGAACGATTATGGTGAACATAATTATGTAAACGACAATAATACTATATTGTCACATGTAAAACATGAGCGGTCAATAATAACTACTGAGATAGTTTACAACCATATCTTCCCATTCAACTTAGATGAAGGAAAACGCCAAGCAAGAAAATGAAGAATATCATCAGACGAAAAGGGGAAAAAAAAATGTTATATAATGTTGAAAATTATGAAAATACACAAAGAAGCTGCACCAGAAAGAATCACAAGAGAAATATGAAAATTATGAATTGTTTTTTCAAAAGTTATAGAAAGTTGAAATATTTTCGTCCGCTGAATACAAATACAACTATATGGTCTTAGGCTCCCAAGACAGCCAAAGAAAAAGGAAAATAAAAAAATGTGGGAAAGGAATATTCAAGTCTTCCTTGAAAGAAGTATACAGTGTTTCCCAAATTATACAGTTTTCTTGCATTACCATAGACACACGATAAGGAAATTCATATGTAGTTCAAGAATTTTGTTATTATTTCACTTTATTTTAGTTGTAACTGAACCCACTTTCTCATGGTAGTTTGGCACACAACTCAGTTCTATTAATTCCTTCACAATAAGAAGATAAGTAGCTTTTTATCACAGGGATACCTTGCTGATAGTGAATATTTTTAAATGATAAATTTCATCAAAATTACAAAAAAATGAAAAAATTGTATAAAACTAAAGAATTTGATGTAGATCTAATAACAAACCTTACCAATGTGTGTGTCTATGAATATATATGCCCGTTTAATTTGTTAATTCGAATTGATACGTGACTTTATATGAGAGTTTTTTACTGTAGTAAAAAAATTAGATGTGACTGTTTCTGAGAGCTTTTTATTATAACAAAACTCGAATTTTAAAACTTGAATTAGTGAAATGAAATATCAAATCCGGAAAATACCAATCATCGAAACAAGATCCCAACAAACGTCCATTCCCGCTGTTGTTCATCCAACTCGGGTTGAGTTGAAATTAAAGGTGGGGTTGGCCCCTCGCGGTGGCATCGACACAGTGGGACCCACCTCACCCCCTACTCCGACTTCTGCTCATTAACCTCTTAGTTGACCTATGAAGTCAAAGTTCTTCAAACGAATTTATTCTCCATGGTCCATACTACACTTTCATTTTCCCCGTATGCGCTAGTTTACAGAGGGACTCAGGAAACACGGCATAACCATTCTAGTTTCAACTTTAAGTACCCTTTGACGCCTCAATCATTAACATTTATGAACAAAGCTTATAAACAACTATACCACTCAGAATGTAAAAAGAGGGATTTTCGTAAAAGAATGATATGGAATCTTGAAAAAGGTATTTTATATTCAAAAACTCCCCTTAATGTAGTCATAATTCTTGAAGCTAAGAAAATGTTTGTATCATGTCTAGCAAAACCATGTGAAATTGATGGATGCAAATAACTTCTAACAAAAAAAATCAATGAACCACAAAGGAATGCAGGTTGCTTCTCAAACAGTTACCGACATTGGGAAAAGCTTATCAAGCTTGTTATTGGAGAGAATCCCGTGGGGATCCAATTCTTTTCGTGCTTTATTGTATGCATCGACTGGAAAGCGCCTTCTTAGCCTAGCCTGGAGAGCTGCTAGCTCTTCCTTTTCCTTTGGAACCTGTGCAAAATATGAGTAAATGAGCGGGAAAAGGCATAAGATAAGAATATATTCACATGCAAGCGTGCACATGCAAATGCAGATATGACGATTAATTTCCTTGGCTCTGCAAGAAAAATAAAAAGGAAACTCCGTACAAACAAACGAGATTTTGCAGACAAATGTGATCTGATCTTAGCAACCGTTTATGTCCAACCTTTTAAGATGAAAATGAGCATCAACATTCAACAAAGAAAGAAAAAAAGAAAAGAAAAGAAAAGCATAGAATTGGGTTGGTGTTTGAGAAACAAACATCATATCACACAGCCTTAGGCTCCGTTCATTTCACCGATTCGAGTTTAAAATTCGAGTTTTGCTACAGTAAAAAACTCTCAGAAATAGTCACATCTAACTTTTTTGTTACAGTAAAAAGCTCACATAAAATCACATCTCAACTCGAATCAGCGAACTCAACGGGCCCTTAGCTCATGATAATAACCAAGGAGATATCAAAAGTTTTTAAGAGAGGGAGATATATCTAGATTAGTTCAATACCTCAATCTTAGCCCAATGTTCATAAGCAGAATACTGATCCCACAACTCTGTCTGGGTCATATGTCTGTAGTGGAAAAACTCGTCTGTTATTTCCTTTCGCTGGCGAGCATCTGAGGTAGGAAGGTACATGATTATGCCAACCTGAAACAAACCAACGCTGGTTAAGTACACAAGACGCAAAACGAATCACAGCATCAACTACATGCAGGCCAGATAATCAACTTCACTACATAAATGTAAGATTTTTATTTTCCCTGCGTTTGAGTTTTCTTGCAAATAAACAATGATCAGCAGGACATGACAAAAATGTAAAACCAAACAGCATTTCCCCTTCATCACTATTTTTGTACTATTTTAAATTCTCCTTCTTTGCACATCCAAACAAATTAAAGAACGTGTTGTCAAATTAAGAGCGATGTGATATAGGAAAAGGCAACAAATAAAATTACCCATGAAAATATATCATCCTCTGAGGGACTTGAAGCTGGACTCATGGGGCTCTTACTGCGGGCAGTCCACCGCTGCTCTATTGGGGCAGGTGCAGGTACCTTTTCTTTTTCTATCAGCTTCTTCACATCTTCAATGTATTGAAGGTCCTTCATGTTTGGTTTAGCCACCGTGCCCACAGGAAAACAAGTTTCTGAAACCCACTGTTGGCCACCACAATCAAAGCCAAGAATTTCATCACTCCATCCAACTCTGTATCCCTCCGACTTTCTCCAGAACTCGGCCTCAGCTTGATTAACTTTTATGACATGGTCTTTGTTAAGAGGATCAAGAGCAAGCAGTTTATCTCTCAACTCTGTAAATGACAACTCATTTATATTTTGTTCAGCATTTTCTTCAGATTGACCCGTAACTTGTCTTTCTCTGCAAGTAAAAGCCGTTACGAGCTACAATAACTGTATGTTCTCTCTTGTTTCTTTTTTCTCATAAAAATTAAAATAACATATAGTCACATATTCCCCAAATTCTGCACAAGTTAAAGGAATTTCCATATTATACAGTTCAAAAAGACCTAGGGAAAGGCTGTACCTGTACTTCTTCAGACTCTCCCTGTAGAGATCCCGAACATGTTGTAATGCTTCATCTGTAGTGTATTGGGGTTTGAACTTTGGCGGACCTTTCCATTTTGATACAGGGTTGCACCTCACAACCACAACAGAATCGGTATATGGTATATAGAGGTACTTCACGTGCTTATTATCAGATAGTAATTTCCTGAGAAAAGAAAGAACTTTTTAACTACTATGGCAGAAATAGATCATCTGTTATTCTTTACTACATACTATATGTATATGAGCGCAGAGACAAACACAAGTGGAGAGGACACAAGAGAGAATTGTGTTAAAAGAAACAAAGGAGCATAATGCACCAGAGCTTTGCACACCAATGCAGAAAAATAAATTATAGCTGATGATTTCAGTCCACAAGACAGATCGCCCAGAAGACAGAAAGTCTCGTATCACAAAGCCATTAAGGTCAAATCATTATAGACAATAAATCAAACAATTACTCCCGCAATTGCCAAATAGTTTTATTCTCCATAAAATGATTTGGAAAACCATATGCTCCGGTAATGAAATATATTCAGCCAGTCAATAATATACAGGTCTCGGTCACAACATAAAAGTTGAACATAGAATTTTGTGAGAAATTACGTATCTTATAATTCTGCTGAACACTAGAAAGTGGACTAATTTACCCAATAGAAGGAACAAATGATTACTTGTGATTTTTCTTGACCTCTTCCATGGTTGAGATGGCAGTGTGCTCCACAAGCTCCTGTCTCTCAACACACTGAAGGGTGACCTCAGCAACCACTCCAAGGCCCCCAAGACCACAACGAGCTAGATAAAACAACTCCGGATCTTTCTCTTTTGAGACTTCTATTGTCCCTTTAGCAGGCGTGACCAGTTTCATGCTGATAACCTGCTCATCAATTGGAGGCAATCTTGCACCAGTACCGTGCGCACCAACCTAAAACATATAGACGGAAAGTAATGCAGAGATTTAAGAAAGGAAGCAAAGTTGATTATAACTTTTACACCACACGACTTTACATATCTACTAATCAGTTAGATACTGTGTTAACTTCATTGATGTAAAGGCTTTGAAGTTGATTAGATACATGCTTAAACGGCCGTGATATTAATAGAAAACCTGCAACATGAGAAGTCAGACCATCTGCAAGGAAAAGCTAGTCGCTAGACAATCAGCTCAAATGAATCCCTTATGGATTTCCATCAAGGCATTGCCAAAAATCCATTTCTGAAAACAAAATTCACAACCCAACGACAAAACCACCGATTTATACTAATTCAACCGACATCTTCTAATAAAAACTTCAAGCAGAAGATAACTTAAACTAATGATTTACATAAACCACCAACACATAATCCCAACTAAGCGGTAGAAAACTAAAATAATCCTCGAGAAATCCAGGAAAAAAAAAAAAAAAAAGCATTCAGGGCTTTAGAACACGATTCAACCCAACACTAAGAACCCACTAACAAGTCACAGAAAAACTCGACACCAAATTCAAGACAAACCCAAAAAGGCAAAATCAAAGCACGAGCAGCACAAAATCACAGCCCAAATTATAATACAGACAAAGCCTTCTTGAGTTCTTCTCGGCTTTAAAACAATAACTCAACCACTAAAATGGTCATTGAACAGTATTTCAGCACACAAATTCAAGCCCACACTCAAGACCACAAAAAGCTTAATATCAAAAGTCAAAACAAAACAAAACAAAAAACCCAGAAACCTGAATGATGCCACCAATCTGCTGCTCCCTAATGGAGGCAAAATTCTGAAGAGTGATCCCATACTCCTTAATCCCATCGACCAACTGCTGGACCCTTATCCCAGCCTGAACACTGACCCTTTTCTTCTCCTTATCCACCTCCAACACGTTATCCATCAATGCCAAATTCACCATCCCCGCCCTAGACAACCCGATCCCGTTCGGCGACAACCCCGACCCGACCGGCCTAATCCGGGTCTTCTTCTCATGGGCTTCCTTGACAACCTTCTCCAACTGCTCCAAATTCTCCGGCTGGTGGAAGACCCGGGTCTGGACCTCGTGGGTCCCACTCCAGTTGGAGACGGTGTGGAGGTCTTCGGGTAGAGGGGCGTAGCGGAAGATCTGGGCCTTCTTGTGCTTGGCGTTATCGGGGAAAGGGAAGGAGTAGTAGGTGGCGGCGCCGCAGAAGAGGACGAGGGCCGTGTAGCCCAGGTATTTTCTGAGCTCCGCATCTGACGAAGAAGAAGGAGATGTGGAAAATGCTCTTGTGGGGTTTAAGGGGTTTCGGGAAATGGGAGATGTGAAGAAGAAGGTGGTGGGTGTGGAGGAGAGGCTTTTGAGGTGGTGGTGGACAGAGCGTTTCTGAGTGAGAGCTCGAAGCATTTTTTTTTTTTTTTTTTTTATAACTTGTGAGCTTGCAAGTGATGAATTTGTGAGTAACGAGTTTGGTCAGGAAATGGGGGGACCAAAATTTGAGATTTCCATTTCAGGTAGAAGAAAAGCTTCGTATGATTTTTTTTTTTTTTTTTTTTTTTCAGGAAAAAAGGGAGTTTCTCTAGGGGAAAATGAACAATGGGTATTTCATGTAAGATCTGTATGAAAAATGGTGTATTTGCATATTGGTTATGTAATCATATGGAATTGTAGGACTCATTGCTTGTGTAATTATATGGGACTGTGCATGTAATTATATGGGATTGTGCCATGTCATGCACAGTTAAGTTTTAGGAATAGCATCTCTAATTTCAATAAAAAAATGATATTTGGTATTGTAAAAGCACCGGGTGCGTCCAAAATTGATTTTTTTTTTAAACGTTTTTACACATTTTTAGAGACACAAAAATAAAAACGGTTTTCAAACCGTATTTTTTTAGTAAATATTTTACAAACAAAAATGAAAATAAAATTTTTGTGAAGGAATTAAAAAACGGTTGAAAGTTATTTTCCCTTTTCTCTTTTTATTTTCTAGTACTTGTCAACAATGTTATAATATATTAATTAATAATTATAACCAAACACGATTTCACTTTTTTATTATGCTCAAAACAATCTCTTAATAAAGTAATCTAACACAATTTTAAAATCAATTCTAGAATAATTCTCAAAACAATCTCATTTTTACTTTTGTATTGAAAATAAAATCATTTTAAAAACGTTACTAAACAGTCCCACCAACTCTGCACAACTCCGGATGAGGTGACGCACTCTAGATAAGTAGAAATTAGAGAATTGATTATTTAATCATACGAGATTGTGCCAAGTAGAGCTGTGATTTTAGGATGCCAAATAGCGTCTCTTTTTTCAATGAAAATGACATTCGGCATCGCAATAACTGTTGAGAATGGTGTCCTAAAAGTATGATATGTAATAAGATATTTATTATTAATTTAATAAACGAGTTTATTCATTATTTTATGTACATATATTATTGAATATTTTATGAATATCACTAAAAATTCCGTGATTATTTATGTGACCTTTAATATTGTATATAAGTGTTATATATAATAGGATAATATTTAAGGATAATAATCAAAATAATGATCGTAATGAGTTTAATTAAAGTTTGAAATTTTTAATTAAAACATTACTAATACATGTTATTCTCATTTAAAATGGAACGATGTTATCTGCATTGTTAATATAGCGAGATATCGAATGACTGTATTACGCATAATGAGATTATGTGGAACCGGGACACATACACAATATGAATTTCTGATAATTTCCTTTAAGTATAGAAATTCTAATTGAGTCTATCGATGGTCATATATAGAACAATCTTAATACTGAGCTATTAGAAAACTCATTTATGGATTTGAGTCTTATTTCGAGATGTTGAATCATATTCCTTGTATTTTGAAGACATAATGAAGTGAGTAGCCGAGAATGTTATTATATGAGATAAAATTCATTCCTTCTTGAAAAAGAAGTAGATAAATAATTCTCTTCAAGGTTGATTCGATACTTGGACTAGTAAGAGCTCTGATTTATGAATTTATTTTATGAATCACTGTCCATTAGTTAATCAATGGTACTCAAGAATAAAAATGTAATTAGAGAGGTTAACGGATTTTACCTAACTCTAATTATAAATTATTTATGGAGGATTGATCTATATGTAATGACTATATCAAATGGACACTTGTCAATTTAGAAGTAATTTATATTTATAATTACGATAGTGCAATTCTAAGTTTATAGTGGAGTAACTTTTAGAATTAATAGAATTAATTAATTAATTAAAGAGTTTTAATTAGTTATTAATTTTATCATAGCTCAGAATTATAAGTCTATGAGTTTTCGAGTTGTCCTTGTAATCCTACAACACACTAAGGGCAAAATAAAAATTTTAAAATTATGGGATTCTAAATAAAACGCTCAAGAATAATTAATTGATAATTAATTATAAATTAAATAATGTAATTATTTAAATTTGAATCTTAGAACACACATGTGGAGGTGTCTACATGGTGTACCCACCCAATGTAGCGTGAATCCCTCTGGGATTCAGTTGTTTTTTTTCTAAGTTATCCAATTGACTTATTTGATAAGTTGTCCAATTAAAATTCAAATTAAATTAAGTTTGACTTAAATTGAAATTTAAATTTGAGTCAAAATTAGACTGTATTATAAAAATAGAATTTTGTGCTTACCACGAGGAGGAATCTTCCTGTGGTAGTCGGCCATATGGGATAAGGGAGAGAGTAGATTTTGTTTAAAAAATTAATTAGAAGTGGGAGATAATTATCAAACTTTATCTTGAAGATAAAGTTTATACTTCTTATAGGAGTTTGATTATTACTCTATAAATAGGAGATTGCAGAAAATTAGAGAACACAATTTTTACTTTCTCTAGCATAGTATGGCCGGTTTTATAGAGTGAGGAAAGGAAAATTTTTCTCTAAAAATTTCACGTCGTACATGTGTTGGTAATTGTGAAAAACTTGAGTGTTTGTTTGCTTATCCTGTTTTGTTTCAGGTGTACCTACACACACATTTTCATAGATTCAAAGAATTGACAGGGAATTTGGGTATTCTAAATAAGTTTGGAACAAGAAACGTACGTGGTCAAAGAACTCAAATTATCAATCTAACATTCGTTAAGTAAATTTATTTATAAATTAATTTAATTTATTTATTCGTATATAAATTAATTTAATTTATAAAATATTATTATATGCAATTCACTAAATACACGTTTTCGTATTGAAAATTATTTTTAAACCAACGAAAATACCAACTCCGCACGACTCCGGATGAGGTGGCGCATTTTAGGAATTGGCTATGTAATCATATGGAATTGTGGGACCCATTGGTTATGTAATCATACGGGATTGTGCCAAGTGATGCAGAGTTGTGGTTTTAGAATGCCGAATAGCAATTTTTTAATTGACGTGATTTTAACTAAATTTTATATAGATGGAAACTGACTTTACTGATACATATGTCTTACGAGAGAAAGTCTGAAAGGAAAAGGGTTTTTTTTCTTTTTTTTTTTTTCAACTATCAACTCCACAAGTCAAAGTCATACGTTAGAACCATGAGATTATAATTATTTTTAATTTACGTGTATTTTTTATGAGATAAAATACTATAGCAAATTATGAATCATAATTCAAATCAGAGAACGAATCCTCCAACTAAACGGACTAGAAATATAAAGGTAGATTCAAGGTTTCATGTTTTACAGTCTTATACTCCGTTTATTTCAAGGGTTTTGGTCTGATTTAAAATCATAGTTCATGATTTGTTATAATATTTTTTCCTCATAAAAAATTTAAATTTTAAAAATTAGAATCATGAACCATGATTTTAAACCTATTAACCAAACGTCACCTTATTTATTTTGAGATCAAAATTGAAGGTAAATAAAAAAAATAAATATTTATTCAAAAACAATCTAAATATGAGTTTCTTCTTCACTTCTCCACCATCAGACCTAAACCCTCCCCTGTCAGAGAATCATCTCGAGAAGATGTCCCCGTTCCGTTTCGCATTTCACCACCATCAGTAGCTTGGCCCCCCTCCGTTCCCCGTCATCAAATCCTCTGTTACTCCCCATTGTCGAACCCCTCGTGGCCGCATCACCGCCGACGGCAATTTTCGGTGGAGATTATGAAGGTGCAGAGGAGGATTACCTCGAGTGTTCTTCGCAGAGGTTGTCGACGTCAAAGCAATTGCACGACTGATAATTTCGTACCCTGTAGGTAAGGAAAAAGTAATGCCAGCAACCATAGAACTTCTCTTAATTTAAACATGTAAGAAAATCATTCTCTGTGTTATTTTTAAAGTTAAATATAACATATGCTATTTCTTAGTATCAAATTGAACACCAAGTTCGTATAGTTTTATTATTATCTTCTTTTTTTTTAATGCGTAGGTTAAATTTTGGCATTTATCTTAAAATTAAAAGCTTCCTTCTATAAATTCCAAATCTTAACAATTATGACAAAGAAAAAGGAGTGTTTAAAATAGCATTATGTATTGGAGTATAAAATATTAAATGTGTCATTTTCACACTAAAAAGCATAGTATTAACATTGCCATTTGCATGGGAGATGGTTTTAGATTAATAACTATGCATTTTGTTTATTAAACGTGCATAATTACTTACATGTAGGAAAAATATGATATTAGGGTGTGTAACTCGAAAATACATACGTGTATAGTATGGATTTTTTCTTTTTGAAAGTAGGATAATATACGTAAAACGCTCAAGTTAAATACATATGTTATATTAACTTTTCTAATAGAATAGAATGTTACATCTTATATTATCCAACCAAGTACACTTCAGGAGAGATGATTTTATTTTATTTTTTTATTTTTTACTAATCACTTCAGGTGAGACAATTTGAGGAAGTTTCTTGTGTTACTTCACACATTCTCTCTTAACGGTCACATCCATATTACGTGGAAATGTTTGCATCTTTCACAAACGCATGGCGCACATGTTACATGTATCACTTCTGGTACATAACAATAACGTTGGCTAAGTTTCATCACCAGGGCTTTAGCAGTGCCGTATGTTTTTGGATGCAAACTCACAAATGATTATTATACTTCATCATCAGTGAGAAGACACTGCCATAATCATCTTAAGTGGTTTTTTTTTTTTTTTTTTTTTTTGTTTCCGATGAAGAAAAATTGTGGCGAGAGGTGGCCAACCATAGCCTCTCTCGGACATGACCAAAGGGGCCTTCGCACCTGAAAAATAACTCTAATGATTGATGAGTCAACTCATAACTAGTTGCGTCGTCTCAACCCCGTAAAGACTAATGAACACTGAGCCGATAGCCTAAAAATAGTTTCAAATTCCCATAAGACCTGGTGGTTATAATGATCAGTTTCCGACTCCAGCACCTAGCCGCATGCTGCTATGCAGCGGTTGTTCTTGCCCATCTTTCTTCGTTGTGTTCCTAAAATGCATCTCAATTTCTCACATTTTGCGGCAGTTTGGGGGGCTATGGCTATCGGGCACAATCGACAGCGTCCAAGAACGTAAAACTATGTGGCTGTTTAGTATATGGGTTCTACTACAATATAAATCCATTGTTTTAATAATATTACAGTATTTTTTCTCACAAAAAATTTAAATTTCAAAAATCATAATCAAGAACTCTATTTTAAACGCTAGTTTGAATACATATACCAAACGAGCCCTACATTTGAGAATTTAAGTCTGACTATGAAATAATAACCTACTAACATGACTATTTTCGACGGTAAGATCTTTCCAGATTCTATGACTGTTTTTTGAATATTTTTTCACTTGATATGATTTTGACCACATTTGATGCTAAAAAACACACTATCATAGAAAGCGCTAACTAAATTACAATAATGGTTCTATTGCTTGAAATTGTTGAATACAAGAAATACTGGTAGTACGAAAAGACTGCACATAAATCCTTATTTCCACAACCCAACATGCCCGGTTCAACAATAGGGGATCAAAAAAAAAAAAAAATGAAAGAAGATTCCCCAAACATTATAGGTTTTAATCTACAAGCCACACGAAGCAATGCTATTTGGCAGTCAACCTCTTGAAACTAATAATTTAGTATACGAGAAAGAGGTACATAACACAAAACCAGGATAATTACATACAATGCCTGCGTCATATCCATCAAAACCATACCTTAGTAGAAGTGTAAAACCTTATGATCCAACTACTTTGGATCAAACACAAGCCAGATTAGGAAATGTATTCCCTTGATGCCCATCTATCTTCATACCTCCCAAATGAGTAAGCTGTCGATGGAGCCTCGGACAAGTGGAAAGGGTCTGGTTCGATACCGTAATCCGTTAGTGGTCTGTGCTCAAGAATATCATCATGAGATTTCACAAAATCAGGAATCTCGATATCATCCTTCTTTATATCATCCCAAAGATACTGCAAGCGGTTTACATACTTGATCTTCCAATACAGACTACAGTAAAAAGAAAAAGAATTTAGGACCACAAATAACTGGAAACAACTTACATGTTATGCTTCTTAATCGCTTTGAGAAACTTAACCATTTAAAACGAGTGTAAATTTGGACAAATTTATTTGAACTTGACATTTTCAACCTTAACATAGAGGGGCCCTAAATGGTTTTTTTTTTCTTTTTTTTTCCCAATAGGGAAAACCAAAATTTGAGAATTCGAGGTATTTAGACAATAGAAGCATTCAAGTATAGTCTGAACAGGAAAATACAATAGTTCAAGGCTCATTACTCACATAAAATAGATAATCGCATGCACCTAATATAATAATTAGAACCGCTGTCACTACCGAAATAATAGTTATAAACACTAAGCGGAAAAGAAATAGTGGATCAAAAATATAAACATGATAAAACAATGGTGAACTAGAAATAAGAACTGAAGCATGCTTGCACACAAAATTCACTCAAAACTTAGCCTTCCGTTGGTGGTGTCTCGCTCACAAAAAGATGCGTCACTCATCTCACACCTCTAGAAAAACTGAGACAAGTACTGAAATAAAGTGGATATTACTTGAAATAAACTAAATATGAATATCTGAATTTTCTCACAATTCTTGAATTTCAACTAGAGAATACATAAATGATGAAAACCACATAAGCTCCATGCTTCCGTTCAACTAGCTATATATTGCAGAGTGCCCTGCTTTAAATTACAAGGTCTGGTTCCTATGTATTAGACTTATCCTTTTACAAGTTATTTTTTTATGGAATAATTTCAAGGAAAGGCACTTTTAGCAGAGAAGACCTAAAAAAATCAGCCGGAGACAGTACAACATTCATCATATTTTTCCCCTGCTACATACACGGCTAATTTATTTAGGCAAAAGCAGCACCCGGAAACCTAATATCTATCAGATTCAACTAAGTAAGCAAACTGCCTAAATACTCCAGATCACACAGAATTACACCCAACTGAAAACTTATGCGACTAAGGACTTACACTAAGAACAATTTGGTTAGATCTATTAGTCCAACACATATCACAAAATAACTCACCCTCCACTTAAGAAGAATCGACCGAGAGTGGCAAATACAAGCCTCGAGCGGAGCCCTGGGTGGATGAAGTATACAACTTGAAGCCTGTCCTTGAAATCAGATGGAAGGTCTTCATAAATCCACCTCAGGATAGTTATCCCAGGAGAATTATCCTCTTTCTGTACAGTACTATGCATATAAACAATGGAGAATGGCCCTTCTGGCAACTCGCTGCATAATTTATGGGCAATATACCTCTTCAGACGCTCCGCGGTCACAACAGGAGCTGCAAACAACACAGAAGTGGCATGAATCTCTGATGGGTTCAGAAGAGGTGCCATGTGAAACAAATGTTACAAGAATATTACTACTTTGACTAACGCCGTCTACACATTTATCATGTCATCCAATCACAGAATTTTTCCTACCATATAGAAGCAAAATTCTTCACTGCTCTGTAACTCCAAGTTTATGCTTTTATTGGGCCAATTTTCTCTTGCACTGCTCTCTATTAACTTGAATTACAAATTCAAAAATGGCCATTAGGAAATAAAACCAGGAAAATAGAGGATTAAAAATATTAATGATAACAATTGTAAAGATTAACTTCTTCTCTCTGAAAGTTAATTGCAATTTCAAGGCAAAAATGATTGATAAAACCCCAATCCAAAAACAATTTAAACCCAAAAAAATTCACACATAAATACTTACTGAAACTAAATCCCTCTAAATAACCTAAAAAAAACTCGTCTTTTTTCAAACAAATACAATCCATCTTCCATAAGAATCCATACACTAACCGAAACCAA